ACTTTATTTATCACCTTTTGAAGTGCTTTGACTGCCCGGGTTAGAAAAATATTTGAGGTTTACAGTTAAATGGATTTGTTATAGCGGAATCGGAAGCGCGGGTCAAATCTGAAATAAAAAAGTCGAATTTGGCGAAGGAATGAAAAAAGGATAAAGAAGGATTATCCGAGTAGAATCCACGTGTTTAATCGAACAAATCAATAGATTTTGGTTTAGATTCATTACAGTAAATAAGCTATCGGGTTTAGTGAAGACTTTTACGCAATTCTAATTTAGTAAAATTCGGATATACAGGGTGTCTCAATGAAAAGTATCCTCTCATAATTTTATTCTGCCTTTTAACATTTTCTATCATGCCTTGTTCAAATCAAATTCTGCAAGTTTTAATTTATTTTTTGTATTTATTTTTAAAAGTTGGTCACAATTCTCGGCAAGTAAGACGACACTAGTGACGTGCATTGATATTTGTTTTGCACCGACTGTATCAAACAAAAATGCTTGTTATATCTGAATAGACATCTACATCTTTTGAACTCGCAGTATGTCGGAAGTATTAGATAAATACGTTTCAAAAAATCGGGTTTCCGAACCGGCAACATTCTCCAAATATCGTTTCGGTTTAAATACGCTCCGTTGATTCGACTTTTATATTCATAAATACCGTACAAAGAATCCGCATTTCTTTGTAAACCCGAGGAAGAACTCTCCTCGTGCAGTAAGTACGTATATTCGGAATATTCAAAAGCTAAACATTTGCATTTTGATTGAGCCGCATTTTTTAACTAACGAAGGTATGTAGGTCACATGTTTTTGATTAAATAGTTCGTACAATGGAACAAAAATGTTTTACACATACGTTCGATATTACGGTAAATGGAATTTTGTATTTTTGCTGCATAAATGAGCGCTTTTGGTTTGAAGATAATAGAGAAATTTTAAAAGGTATTTAGTTGGATTTTGTACGATTTTCCTTCTATTTTTGCGTAAATTTAAACCACCACAACTTCCTCAATTTTTCTAAAAATCTATTACAGTTTAATCAATTGAGCAAAAAAGGCAGAAATAAATTTTTTAGTGGGCTCTTGACCTGCGAACAGTTTATTTTCAAATCTAATATACCCGCTTTATGACAAACGAAAATTCACGACATTCTCCGAAATTTATTAAGCGCGTAAAAGTATCCAGTGAAATCGAGTATAAAAAAAAAACTTTCTGCAATACTCTTCGGAGCTCGCATCGTAAAACGAAAAAAATCGTAACCGTTTTATTATGATAATTTTTTTACGCAGTAAAATTATAGGCCATTCCCTTAAAGACACACATCCCCCAAACGAGACTTCATAAATATTTACTCTGTAAAATTACACCGCACAACAAGCTACACGAAATTGAATATTCTTCGCAGTCTCAGCAACTAATATCTTAAATTGCGCAAAATTCGACGAGTTCTGGCGGAACTCCGTCAAATTACACTGAACCAAAAAAGTACGTGCAGATAATGAAAAAATACATTAATCCAAGAAATTTTTACATTAAAAGTCGTCCAATAAACGATTTCATTAAATCAATGAACGTTTGTTCATTAAGCGATGAAGAGGTACATTAAGTGATGTATAATTCGTTGATATGATGAAATGAAAATCATTGTTTCGATGAATTAAAGTTGCTGACCCAATAAAGAAGTACATTAATTCAATGTAATATTTTACATTGGTTTAATGAACGGTGTACACTGATTCAACAAATTTTAGATTTTTTCTAATAAATGTAGTACATTGATTCAATGAAATGCTTTCATAGAATCAATGAAATGCTTTCATAGAATCAATGAAACTTAGATCTTGGTTTAATGAATTTCTTTTATTGAATTAAGGAATTTTAGCTTTTGAATTAATGAACGCAGTACATTGAATTAATGAATTTGTTTTATTAAATTAACGAATTTACATTTTTTGTATTATTGCTTGAAGAAACTGGTCAATCTTCGAAGAATTATTTTCGAATTATTCCATAAAATTCTTTGCATCATACGCTGGGGCGAAATCCATATCGATCTAAAAAAAAATTATGGGTTAATATAGTAGACTGTAAATTCCTATCTACATATCCAGTAAGTATATAGATTGCTCCATTGTTCATTGCAACATAGGCTATGGGTGCAACAAAGATAACTTCAATTAGACACTTGTAAAGGAAAAAGAAACAATATGATATTATGTCATTGCAACTTTTCACTCTGACAACTGTTATTTTACTAATATTTTTTTGTTCAACTCATAGAAATGATCATGTTGCAATCGCGAATGAAGCACGGTGTATAGGTAGGTATACTATTGAAGGTACTCACCAAGATATATCCAGATGGTCGTTTGTAATAGGTTCATTTTATCATCTGAATTTTTGTGCGTTTTTTATGTCACTCAAGCGAAGTTCCAATACATGCTGCATACGTCGAACTCTTCCGATGATAAATTTTCAAACTTCAGAAGTCTTATGCACGTTTCACAAATGTCTTTGGGGCCTAAAAATTTAATATATCCAATAATTTAATAAGTTGTAGTATAAACCATAAAAACTTACACACATTTTGTATGAATCTTGAAGTTGTTGCACTTATATCTCCCTTAGGCTTTACGTTTGTGTTTAAAATTAAATCCTAGAAATAAAATGTATAAGTATTAACCTATAGTGTACCGAATTAAAAAATGCTTACCTCTTAAAACAACAGCGCTTGAATTTTCTTCCTTCTTATAATACAAAACGAAAACGAAATTAACTAAACAGAACACTTCCAGTTCAACGCTTCAATACGAAATAACAGGAGAGAAAGAGGGGTAATTAACGGTCAACGCGATTTTCGAAAGCGTCTCTATCTATTTCTTTTTTTCTAATAGAATAGAACGGCATAGATTTGCACTCTAGTGTGTATTGCCAAAATCCAAACTGATATTCATTGACTTAATGAAAAGCGTTCATTAACTCAATGAACTCGAGACAAGAATTTACGTATCCAGTTTGTTGAATCAATGTACGGGCTACATAAAAAATTACGAATGTGGTTTATCGAACCAATGTATATGCATTCATTGTCTCAATGAACTCGAACATAGAATTTATGTATTAGATTTGTTGAATCAATGTACGGGCAACATTAAAAATGCCGAATGTGTTTTATCGAACTAATGATGTATATGCGTTCATTGGCTCAATGAACTCGATCATAGGATTTATGTACTCAATTTGTTGAATCAATGTACGGGCTACATAAAAAATTACGAATGTGGTTTATCGAACTAATGTATTAATGTTTTTGGTTCAATAATTAAATTTCATTAAAAGAATGAACAATTCGTTATATTAATGTACAAGTTACTTCGATTTAATGTATCAAATACATTAACTGAAATATTCGCTTTTAATGTACTAGGTTATTATATTAATGATTAAATTTCATTGAATTAATAAAAATTGTTATTGAGTTAATGAAATTTTACATTAATAATTAATGTTACAAGAAACATTGAGTTAATAAATGAAATCATTAACTAATGAATCAAAATTTATTGGATTAATGTATTATTTTATTGAGCTAATGAAAACAAGTTGAAAACATGGTGTTCATTGATATTATGTACCAAAATTTTTTCAGTGTAGCAAGTTGTAAATCAGAAAGTGCATCTTGGCGCAAACCCGCTCGACCGTATAACATTGATAAACGTCAACTGGACGAGCAACAACAGCGAAAATCCGAATCAGAAACGCTTCTGGAGCGGTCCAGCGCCCCGGAGAGACTTCCAGACGCTTTGTTAGCGCGAATAACTCGCAGTAATACCGGCGAGAACAATTCCCGCTCATAAATTTAAATGGGTTTAAGTTTACGATAACAAATTGCGTTGAGTGAATTCGTAAACTGTGTAATCGACTCGGTTTATTGTAGGAAATCCGTTGCATCTTCACATCAAACTATACAACTCTGTTATTGAGCTTTTTGAGTCCCCTTAAATCAAATATGTATTTAAATGTAACATCTGCATGGCGAGATTTTTCTTCGATAAAGTTGATTGAAAGATTTTCGCAAAGGTTCGCGCGATGAATTGATTTCCACTAAGGGATATCCTCTCTTTTTTGATCTAAAGAGAAATTCGTCGTAGCTTTTAATCCATCTAATCCGGTCCCGTGAATTCGTTATTAATTCAATCGAATGGAGATGTAGCCGGGAGTTTTGAATGTCGTGTTACTTTTCAATTTCCAATAGCGATATAAAGTTTAGACGTTGGGACTGATGTTGATTGTAATTAAAAAGTTGTAATATTTTTCCGAGTTTTCGCGAGTTTGTGTGAGTATAAGCGGATCGGTTTCGTTCGGTAAATTAAAAACGAGCGCTTAATTTATTATTTAATGGAATTAGATGGAATAAAGGAGTCAACAACCGCAGGTGAAGTCGGATAAACTGGATGGCTCTTCCAGAAATTTAGTTTCCCAGGAAAACTTCGGAAGTTCATGAATTAATAAGTCTTTCAATTAGAGAATTTATTTTAATTGAGTAAAGAAAAATACTTACTTTAAACTTAGCTCTTTAATCTAATTGACTTTTAGCAAAATATAAAATTAGTTTTATATTAAATATAAATAATAAATGAAATAGGTATCAATAACCTTCCTACAACTTTTTCTATATAGTAATAAACTTTTCAACAAATTATTCCAATATATTAAATTTAATTATTCGAATGAATTTCGGGGGCATTAATTCGACAAAAAAGCTTATATGATCCATTACAATTCACGAAACTGTCGGTCACATACATAGACCTATTAAGTATGGACGCGGCACTATCGTTATTTTGAGGTTATTCAGCGTTCCCAATGATAGAGAGAGAGGTCCGTGAGAGATGGAGTTAGTTTGGGCTAAAAGTAGGCGGGACCAAAAATATATAAAATATATACAGGGTGTGTGGAAAAAGGCGATTAATTTGTTAAATTATTTATACGCTTAATATTTAAATATTGTTTTTATCTTGGTATCCACTTGGACAGAAGAATGACCTGGAAGAAACATATTTTTTACAAGAGAAAGCAGCTAGGTCTTAAATTGCGATATCTGTACTGGCTAATAGGTAGGAGGCTCCAAATAACAATACAAAATAAGAACTGTATTTGCAAATGCGTGGAAATTTAGGCTCAGCTAAAAAATGCATTTTGCTCGGTAAAAAAATAATAAATCCTCAACCCTATTCTACCATAATCTACCCTCCTCTACCCCAACTACCTTGCATTTCTGAAAACGTAACTCACGTGGTCTTTTTCTTTCTTACTATTGGCTAATATATTGTCCAATTTCTCATTGCCATTTGCCCAAACTAGCTGCATCTCTCTCATTCATCGACAACACTACCTCTTTGTCTAAACCGCGTCCATAGTTAATAGGTCTATGGTCACATACAATATAATAAATAAATATTGACAATTAATTTATTGGCGGGAATTTATTCAGTTTTATTAAAATGACAGAAAGCTTTGAATGTATCGCAAATCAACCTATAAATTGCAAAGTAGAAATACCAAATTATGTATGCGCAAATAATATTTTTCGAAGTTGAATTCGAAGTTTAATCTAGCCGTGTAAATACCAATTACAGAATTAACGTGTATTACATGTACATAATAATCGAATTAACTAATAAATTAGAGCAGTATGTTTGCGTTGAAATTGCGGAAACCTGCTCGATAGTTTTTGAAATAAATGATTAATTTCTGTTGTAAGTAGCGAAATTAATTAAACTGTAATGTAGTTTATATGCTAAATTGTAGATTATTGCAGCCATTTAGGGAATTTCAAAAAGAAAAATAAATTAAAACTGCGCTTGGAAATTTACATTTTTACTTATCAATGTGATAAGTAATATACTAGCTGTTTCACACAAACAGAAACATAAACAACAGCAATAAAATTATATCAGAAAACCCCATCTTCTTTTTTTTATGAATTATGCATAGATACCTAAACGAGTGTAAAAAATGTTATTTCCAAATTTTTTTAGGTAGGTACACTATGAAATATTTATATTTATGTTTTTGTATACATATTCGAATTCCTCCTACACCGCTTTTTCCTTCTCCGGAATCATTTCTTATTCAAATTGTACCTCCACCATTCTTTCAACCTTTCCTTATCTCCCCAAGTCCATTCATCCTGCCAATGGCTCGGCGTTAGATAGTCGAGGAATATTTATCGGGCCGAAAACAGGAACATTTCTTGGTTTGTTCTTCGGGATTTTTTTTTCTAATCTCCACGCAACTCCGGTTTTTCACTCAACACGGCATCATCCTCTTATAGCAGCAGAAATTTCACACATAAGGGATGTGTTTTTTAAAATTCTTATCGCGTTCACAGTTTTTGCACAGTATTCGAAAATGCGTTGAACTGGCAGAGCGTGATATGTAGTGAAATTTCTACCTTTGATCATTCAAATCGAATAAAATAACTACTAGCTTGCTAGTATACGTTTTAGAGAAATTTTAGAGTGTTAGAGAACGATATTTATGAAGGATTCTTTAAGTCAGCGAACAGGTGAATTATTAGAATTACAAATTATTGTTGGTGCAAAACAAATGTAATGGTACGTCACTACTGTCGCCATACTTGCCAAGCATGGTGACCAACTTTTAAAAATAAATACACAAAATAGATTAAACTTATAATACCTGCAGAATTTAATTAATTATAAATAAGGGATGATAGAAAATGTTAAAAACAGGATTAAATCATGTAAATACTAAATTATTAGTATTTTCTCTTAGTAGGTTGGTAGACACTGACTGTCAAATTGCATTGTTGCCGTTCTCAACCGATCGGTATTTTATTATAATTTTCAATTTCTTTTTCCTTTTTCTAGTTTACTAGCTTTTACTATAATCAATAATCAATCAATCGAATAATCAAGAAATAAGAATTTTTTGCATAGTTATCTTCTCCACATGTTAGAAATGACACCATTTGAGCGCTATAAATAATTCAGATTCAGAAGTTTTCTCAGAAATTTCACAATGTACTCTTTTAAGGGTCAATTGTACATTATTTTTTTACTTGCACTGTTAAATATATTTCAGATGATAAAGGAATTTGATGATTAATTATAGTAAGCCCTTGAATACCCCCACTGTTTAAAAACGTGAAACAGGTACCCCTTATTTTCAATTTATTCTTGTCATTTTACCATTTGACAATTTTAGAAAATTCTTAGACTTTATAAAACCCTATAAAAGTCCGGCAACACTGCCTGCTTGTAACGTAGTATATAAATCATAGTTGACGTGCATTTATATTTGTTTTGCTCCAACTGTAGCAGCTTATTAAAGAGTCGTTTTCGCTAGTATAACGAAAATTTTAACAGTTTCTCAGATTTTCTAAAATTCCCGTAACATCACTCACCTCGGCTCCTCTCCTATTAATTAAATAACGTGATGAACGTCTTCCGACGTCCAATTTTCCTCGAAATGCGTACCTATGCGATATCAGATTCCCAACTGGAACACAATGCGATTTCTCCGGACGCCATTGTACCGTAGTTTTGGAATTACCGTAGAAAAGGAAAACACAAAGAAGGAAATTAATTACCCCGGAGAATCCGGTTTTTCGCATCGACGTGAAAAGAGTGAAATACGCGCCTCTTGCATACAGTACCCGCTTGTTTTCGGGTGTATCTATTATACAGCGAGGGCGATATTTGTCATAATTCCTCGGGAATTCGGGGATATAGTTTCTTATAATGGATGGCGGGCCCTAGCAGGAAAATATGTGGGAATAAATGCGCCCAGTGACTTGAGATTAGATTTGGATTTCTTCGATTTAAACAGGAATAAATCGGGTTAAAGAAATTTTAATCCGTTACAGCCCCCAAAGGAGCGCGGTTGAAAATGGAGAACCGGCCGAAGAAATGAGTTGGGGATTTTCATATTTCAGGGACAAACACGAAATTTCAATGAATTTCGAAATCAAGCGAAATAAATTGATTGCATTTTCTTACCGTTCTCGACTCGGAGAAAACTAAATTGAGTTAGGGCCGGTCGAGAATACTCCGTTTAAGTTGCAACCTTATTTGTTATTTCGCGACGAGAAATTAGATTTGCATGAAAATTATGGAATATTTTATTACTCTGTAAAAGTCAACTTTTTATAAATTAACATAAAATGTAAACATAAATTCGAAAAGCAATTCAAACACGATCGACCAGAACTAACATAGTAATGCCAATATTGTTGTAAAAACGTTCCGAATTGAGTAAATAGTTGAAATTTCATTTATAGTTTACAGAAATAACACGGAATTTCGAATTTCTGTTTAATTTCGATAACAAGTGCCTCTACTGTATTGTTTTCACGCGACGAAGCGAACACTAACGGGTTATTGTAGCTCAATTTTGGGGCTATAAGTGATGCTCGACATCGAATTGATTATACTATATTATTATTAATTTGCACTCTACCTATTCGATCCGTGAGATTTTATTTATATAAAATAAATAGTTTAGATTTGAAAGCACGAAAATGGATGGTAAAAAGGAAAGCGATATCAAAGTAAAACATTTTTCGGGTCGTGGGGAAACGTTCAGATCGAATTGATTCGCGGCATTCATTCGAAATAAATTGGACAAGTTCGGCATTAGAGAAAAAGTATTATCTAGATCAGAGCGTTTTCGCCGCGCGGGAAACTTTCGCAGGAACGATTTTTGTCGAATAATTTGTTTCAGGTTTCAGCCGCTTTTCTAAAATATGGCGGGAATACATTACCGTGGAAACACAAAAAGTTTCTTCGGCGAAAAAATGAATTTCCGGCAAAGTTCGCCGATATGTTTTCGATAATTTTTCGCGGTTTAGCGCTCCGGCGATGGGGAAAATGAAATGCATGAGGTCCTTTGAAAAGTTTAATTTCAATAAGCTATTCATGGATGAAATTTGGGAGCTTATTAACCCCTTAATTTCGAGACATTCATTGAGTATTTTTACGTGTCTGCAGGAAAGCAGGTTTAAAGTTAAAAAGTTCGAATCAGTTTAGAGAGCTTTCAGTGAAGCGGGTCGAGTTTTTTGAGCTTTCACATTAGACAGGAGTACGTATATTTCAAAAAGTAAATGCCAATACACGACTGTTATAATACAATAAGTTTAAAAATTCGTTCGTTGCGAAAAGCGAAAGAACAAACTCCTGCAACGGACACAAATTCCATTATTTGTTGCTCGAACTGCCAAAACTTTATTTTTGAGCTAACAAATCGATTGTTGACGTACACTTTATTCGAGTGCAAGTGACATGAATATTTTATAGCGGCAATTTGCGCTAGAAGAAATGATTTTTCTCCTAAACATTCAGAATTGCGATACTTTTAGAAAATTTAACAAATTATCATGCAATAAACTACTTTCCACCGTTAATAATATACGAAATATTTGTATTTTTCCAACGTATTTACTATAAACCCGCATTTAGTACCTAATATTTTAAAATATGTATGTTTTATACGATCATAGTGCAGTATATTACGATCTATAAACTTTTATGTTGTTTAAACTATAAAAACAAAAATGATACCCCTAAATATTAACAGGCGAAACTTATTAGTATCATCTATGAAAAAGTTATACCTATAACTTTAACTGTAATTATTCGACGGTAAAAAATGTACACGTAACTCATATTCGACATTTATGATGTTATTTAAAAAAATGGGGAGTTTTTTTTTGTTACATATTATACATATTAATGTGTACAAACACAAAATTAAAGCGTCCTTCATTTGGATTAATTATAATAGGGCTTGGCGGAAGAAATATAACAAGTTGTTTTTCCTTCTGTTACCCAAACTATTTTTTTAATTATTCACCCGCATTCCTCCTATTTTCATACATTGCCTTCGTAGATACTAAATAAATATAGTCGGGATTCTAAAAGGTATAAAACCAACAATTTATCTTCGTTAAATCCAGCATTTTGTTTGTATAAAACACAAAACGTAGGTACTGAAAATATTCCACTAGGTTTGATTTTTTTTATTTACCTACAACATTTGTTTCTACTGTATTTTAATGGAAATAGTTTTTATATTTTTCGCATTAAATATACGAATGAATAATTTAGAATCAACGATGAGTTTTATTCCATGAAGGCAAAGAGAATGGAGAGACTGTGGTGAAATTTCAACAACAAAGTTATATTTTTTATTTTTTTTAACGACGAAATTACTATTTGAACTACAGCATAATGCTAAGGGGAATAAAAATAAAATAGTGTGTGCGCTCTTTATGGTAACTGGACGAAATAAAAGCGAAAAAAATTATCTTTTGAATTCAATTTTTTTGGATGCTTCCTGTGATTTTACTGAATACATTTAAAATTATACAGATTATACAAGTAGCATTTAACGTATTAAATACGATATATTTTTTTATTGGGAATAATATTGAAAACCACCCCTGTTTGATAATTATTTCCTCCACCTGCTGTAAAAGAAAGCATTGTAATTGAATTTTGAGGATTCCGTTCCGAGGTAGAAAAGTACGAAAATTCCACCAATAAATTACCACAATTTCTTCGAAAATTACTTGGAAACTAAAGTTGTAAATATCCCCCAACGCAATTTTGTCTTTTGTCAGATGTTTCTCCGGAGGAAACCATTCAGAAGGTTCTTTCTCTATATACAGGACCCACATTTCAACTGTTCATTCGAGCGGATTTTCTTTTTTGCTGCTTTATTTCATCGAACGTACGGAGTATTTTAAACCGCTAGTTCGAAAAGGTAGGAAGAAAAAAAGCTTAAAAATATTGTACAGAAAACTCAAACGAATTTTCCAAGTAGGTATATAATTCCGATTCTTTTGATGTACCTATAAATTAAGTAATATTATATAGCGTTTTTAAAATTAGAGTGCACCTAATATAAAAAATATGTGGAAGTGGATAATGAAAGTTAGACAGGAAAATCATCTATAAAGGTAGCGAGAACTGATTAATACAGCAAGATTCACAGGAGACAGGCAAAGCTATTACATTACACTACACTCGATTGTATTTTTTATTTCTAATTCTAAATCTGAACCACAATTTTATTACCAATATTTATTATTATAACTCTCATAAATATTTATCTCGATTATTGACGGCCACTATTGGAATATTAGTATGAATTCGATAATCAATCCAGTGGAAGTTTCCTCTTTATGAAACCGTAATTTTCGCGTTGTTTGCCACCAGAAATTATTTTACGACTCTAAAGAACCCATAAAACAAGACGATAAAAATATTACGAGTTTAGAATGTTCACCGGATTCTTTCAATTCAACAATAACACATTTATATCTCCTTTCGCGGAGAACACGAGCGCATTCCGCGAATTCACGCCCGCTTTTTTTTAAACTTTCGACCATCCAGTCGAGCGATTACTCTCGCAAGTTTTTTCATTAACCAGGGACCGGTCGCACAAATCCGGAGTTCCAGTAATTTTTCACATTAAACGTTCTTTTCCGCGTACGAATTCTCAAACTCTCGCTTTCGGGGGGCCTGTTTCGTGTCATTACTCAATACAACAGGGAGAGTTTACCGCTTTTCATTTTCCCAAATAAGTGGAAACTTATCGAGACTCATACCGATACCTATTATTTACTGCAAGGAATATTAAAGAGGGAATTTTGTGCGAGAATTGTAGTGTTTTAAATAGCTTGAAAGGTAGAGTGAAAGATGTTTTAAGTGTATGTAGGTGTATACACCTTGTATAGATAAAGTTAAATTCCGTGTTAGGTTTGCTCCAGTGGGCAAAAATGCGATAGAAAATAGGTGAGTAAATAAATGAGGTTCTTCTGACGTCTTAAAAATACGATTTTCGGATGGTTAATGGTTCTTTCTTGCTAACATGCCACTCTCTACATGATTTGTAGCCGAGAGCTCGGTCGGAAATTGGTTGCGGCGTGAAACCAGGATTACCAGATATTATGTTTACATTCTTGCGTGACGCGCCTTTTCAAACGAATATTTTTTACGTTCCCAATGAGTTCTATAGCCTCGTTTTCCCGGTTTCGGAACTATTTCTGCGGCAATATTACTATTTAAGATAAATATATGCAATATTTCGCTCAGAATTCGCGAGCAATAGGGACGATTAAACGATTTATGCAGGTCGCATAAACTCTAATTAGCTGAGTATTAATAAAATTTAAAACTCCTTTATGTTCTCTGCAATTAAACGGGTTTTTTATAACCGAATTTAACGAGATGGCGATTATAAAAGTTATCCTTCCAATGAGTACTAACTAAAACTTCGTAAAAATGGAACGTAAAAACGATTTTACTACAATAAACAAATTATAGATAGCTTTCTTTATGGTAATTCGATAATGATTTCTGCGCAGTTTGCCAGAAAATTGTTTGCAACATCCGATCATTAATCTCTAATCTCCCAGCAACCATAAAATAATCGTCCCATTAGCTAGTTAATAAAAAAGTTTTTGTGTAATTTTATAACTATAATTATTCTTCTCCCCAAAAATGCAGCATTCATTATTCGCGGGTCTGTTTAGTATTTAATTAAGTAAATTTTTGGAATGGTTCGTTTAAACGAACTTCTAGCGCTCCGCGTATAATCTCCGAATACTTTTAATTATCAGAAACCATCATTATAACTTTTGAGCATCATTGAGAATTCCTAAAATGAAAACACGCACCGGAGTTTCGCGAAGTTTCCGGTCTAAGTAGATGGATATTTTCGAACAAACTTGCACAAACTGCCCGTCGATATCCCGCGAGAACAAAAGGCTCGTCAGTAGATTTTGACGCAATGTCGCCGAAAGTAAGTCAACCATTATCTAACTTTTCTGCATGATAAAGTTCTCGAGGTGATTCTTTGTGTTTTTTGCTTTGTCGTATTTCAAGTCGCAAGCGATATCGTGTTCTCCTTGAAGGGATAATTTTTAAAAGTTTTAGACTCGCATTATTATTCTCTAAGTTTCGAAGTGGATAATTTGAAAAATAGAAAGTTCGCCTAACTTGTATAAATATTTTACGCGGAACGAAAATAGTAAATGTAAAAGAGAATGGTATATAGATTTCTTTAAACTTGTGCTATATGTGTCAAAGTTAGGATAACATAGAAAATTAAATTTGTATCCACCATAATTTTAAATTTTTCCTGCACCAAAATTTAAAACTCTATTTCCCAAACAAACACCTGTTAACTTTGTTAGTAAATATTAGAACTAAAATATAACATTTTAATAATAGAATTTTTACAACTTCGTAATTCGTTGTATACAAAAAAATATACACTTATAAACAAAAAAAAAACAATTATTTACAAAACTCTTTAATATTAAAAAATCATACAGGGAAACTCTTAGAAATCCTACCTTAAAATCCTCCTTCAAAACAAGCTGATACGCACGGAAAATTTCACCGAATAATAGATTAATATTCTCGCGGCAGAAACTTCGCAGGAAACGTGGTCGTGACGCAGCACGTTCGGCACAGGACGCGTCTACCGTCGCTAGATAACGCAGCAGGACTGCCTGGGATGTGTGAAGCATCGCGACGCTTGCAGGGCGTCCGGACGCATGCTCGCGCTAACAGAAGGTGGCAGGTAGGTGGATTTCGAAGAGGTTTATATTTTGAAAGGAGCGAAATTTATACCACTACCTGTTCTTCTGCATTACCTGCGAAACGAACAATCCCGGATGGTTGTAAAATGGGATAACTGTTGTTTCGGAGTACTGCGGGAAATGCTTAGTTTTGAGAAATTTCGATGCAAAATTGTATTGTAGAATACAAGAGTAAGTTGCAGAGAATTTTTTTATGTATTGCACTAGACGAAGAGGCAACGTAGCGCATGCCGATGCACCACATGAATACTCAACAAATTCAAACTCATTTAAATTTAAGTAATATTTTAATAAATTTTTTAATTATGTTATTTAGTGCAAAATCTACTGCAATCATAAAATAAAATATTTAATTACATGTAAAATCATACAAGCCTTAATTAAAATGTATACAGGGTGGCCCAGAACTCACGCCCCACCGGGAAATGCTTTATGGAAACGACAATGGAGATGCCAAAACTGCAGCCCTTTGAAATTTGAATTCCTACTGGGATTGGTAAATTTTAAACCTCTTTATTTACCAAAGGAATAACTTTTTCATGTTTTTGAGTTTCGTTGCGTGAGTTCTGGGCCACCCTGTATATGTATGTATAGCTGAAAATATGGGTCCTCATTAACTTTAAATCGAAACATCCACATAACACATGAATGAATAGTACTCAACATGTATGGATGCACTCGAATAACAAATACGTACATTCCATTATAATAATATAATCCAAATATTTTTTTATTATGCTGCTGTATGCATCATAAACAGAGATGGATTTTATAACTAATTTAATGAGGTAAAGTTTTATTACCCGCGAGCGATTGTTCGTGATTGACTGCGAAACTGGGGGGTATATTATATTCAAGTATAGTTCAAGCATAGCTTGATGTTTGAGAATATTTTTTTTGAATATAATAGGCGAAAGTAATCCGGAATTACACGTGATAAATTCTGACAAATTACATTCACCCAGCCATACATTATCGTTATTTTTACATCAGAAACCATTATACCAACAAACTTCCCGGGCCATTATCATCATTTCGTTTTTATAGTAGGCGGTAAACAAGTACAATAATTTATAATTTTCATTTAACCGAATTTGCGGTTCCCCTACATCCATTTTACGATAAATCAATAATTTACGTGGCATCTGTTTCTCCTGGAGTTATTGAAGTTCGCGCACTTTTTCCCTCGTCAAATTAGGTATTCCGACAAAATCGAATGAAAACTCCGCCGAAGGAATTGGAGTTTTCGAAATACCATTATTGGATATCCAAGTGCCACATCAACAAACATCGAACTAGCGAACAATAGCATTTATTGCTCTATTTTGATAGTCGCAACATCGCGATATCAATATCCAGTGCGGTTAATTTAACTATCGCATGAAAGTTTATTGATTGTTTATCTGCGAGGTATATCTCTGTTAGAGCGGAAATCTTGGAGTTGGATATTACCTGTTATCAAAATTGCAATTCGGTCGTATATAATGTAGACGAGGAGTTATGAAAGCGTACCAAATGTAATTATAAATGCGTAGTTAATGTATTGTCTGTGCAAAACAAATATCAATGCACGTCACTACTGCCATCATACTTGCCATGCATTGTGACCAACTTTTAAAACGTGAAACAGGTACCCCTAAATTCCATTTTTTCTTGTCATTTTGCCATTTGACAATTTTAGAAAATTCATAGATTTTGTAAATTCAATGAAAGCTCGGCAACACTGCCTACTTGTGACGTAATAAATCATAGGTGACGTGTATTGATATTTGTTTTGCACCAACTGTAAGGTAATTTTAATGGAGAATCCATTACTGAGTTTCCAAGCAACTAAAATTTAAAAAAAAACACCAACAATATTCGAATAAAGTTTAAAAGGTACCGTTTCGTGCATTATTTATCGAGGAAATTCGATAAGATATTCAGCCGTTTGTCAAAGCACAAAGTTAAGACCCTTTACATTTTCCGGCATATATGCTGGGGAATCGGCTTAAACTTTTATGCTCTCTATCATATGTAGAAGGCATATATGCGAGCGGGCCGCTCCGGATTTTAGGTTGCTAAAACATTAAAATTACAGTTCGTCCTTGCTCGGTGCGCAACGCTCGATTTAATCCGGAGCGGTTAATTTGACGTCCATTATTCAAACGGAACATGCGGAGACACAAATTACGAATTTTTTTCATCTAAATTTCTCGTGTATTTGCGCTGCAAAATCCGCCGGAATACTGGTTTTTTCATGTCTTGTATTCTTCAATTTAAACGCCTATTTTAGAATGAAATTGTGTACTTAACGATATCTACAGTATGTCTGAAAAAGTTGGTAACATATGGGAAACTTTTTTATTGTAAGTTTTAGGAAAAAAAGTTATTCTTTATGAAAATCTCTGCTTTCGAAAATAATTATATTTAGGTATTTACATTTGACAGATGTACAAGGTGACCACAAATTGCAAAAGATTAATAGGGATATTTTGACCACTTTCAATTCAAAATTGAGAATGTCAGTAATTGTACTTCAAGAAGTAGCAACAATGCATATTAAAACATATGTTTCTATTTGGAACAACTTTTCATAATTGAAGTTTTCGATATTGTAAAAAATAAAGGTACTTTACTCTTGTATCAAATTCATATTTTTTGACAAACCTCGTATACGATTTAAAAATTGACATCTGGCATTTGCGTTTTACTTTATTGGTCATGCAGAACTTTTTATAAAGAATAACTTTTTTTCGTTAAATTACAAATAAAAAAGTTTCCCATATATTGCCAACTTTTTCAGACATACTGTACATATTTTTCAAAAAAACGTTACTTTTATCTGAGCAAATTGGAAGATTTTGTAGCTGGATAAATTCCTCTTTGAAGTAGCTATAATAATTGGACAAAAGAAGCTTTTTTTAAGCTGCATTAAGAAGCTTTATTTTTTCCATATCCTACCCTTTTTACTTAATATCTACTAACCCCATTATTCTTGATTAACTTAAATATTTAATCAATTGCAACATACAGGTTGCTCCATTTTTCATTGCAACCTAGGCTATGGGTGCAACAAAGACAACTTCAATTAGACACTTATAAAGGAAAAAGAAAGAATGACATTTGTGTCGTTGAAACTTTTCACTCTGACAACCGTTATTTTAATAATCTTTCTTTGTTCAACTCATAGAAATGTCCATGTTGCAATCGCAAATGAAGCACGGTGTATATTTCTAAGCTCCCAAAAAGGTGCATATCAATCGCAGAATCCGGATAGATTTTAATAAGCTATTGGAAATCGATTGGAGATTCGAGGCTTATCAAATTCGTGTCGATTTAAATTCAGAATTTGAAATTATGTTTATCAGCCGGACTATTAGATGCCCTTATCAATATTCCGTGGACTATTTCTGGCTGTCCTACATCCCATCAAGCCGTTGATTGAATAATTCATCGGCCCATCTGGTTCACGAACTGGACACGCTCGTAGTCTCTTTTACAGATTAAATTTGCAAACCAAAATAGTAAAAATCTCTATTCCTATGAAAAATACAGCAGCCTCGGTCTCTCGACGGCCTTCAATTCTAAGAAACGGAATTTACATAGCCGGTATTTTATGCGCTATGGCGGTTTTACTATGTTGCCAAAAGGTATAAAATTTATGTAGAGTAGCTATTGAGTGCTCTCAGACAAAGTTGAAATATTAAATTATGTAACCTCCGATTTTATAGGAGCTAAGATTCTTATATCGCTTAAAAATTAATGTTTACTCGTTCGCATGCGGCGCTGGTAATTTAATTTTCCTGAAATATTCAAGCTTAGCGTAGTTACCTGCATTAATCTAATAAAAAAAAAACTCTCATAATGTTAATTAAATAATAAAATATAAAGTTTATTTTTGTAAAAAATAATTGTAGGTGAATAATATCCTATTAAATTTGTTCCATGCACCTGCTAGTAAAGTATAATAGAGCTACAGTTGGTGCAAAACAAATATCAATGCAAATACGATTTACTACGTCACAAGTAGGCAGTGTTGCCGAATTTTTATAGAGTTTACAAAATCTAAGAATTTTCTAAAATTGTCAAATGGCAAAATGACAAGAACAAATTGAAAATTAAGGGTAACTGTTTCACATTTCTAAATGGTGGAAGTATTCAGGGGATTAATCATCAAATTTCTTTATCATCTGAAATATATTTAACAATGCAAGTAAAAAAATTTAGTGTACAATTGTTCTGCTTTTTAGCATTTTCTATCATCCCTTGTTAGTATTATATTAAATTTTGCAGGTATTAAGCTTAATCTATTTTGTGCATTTATTTTTAAAAGTTGGTCAATACAAAAAGTTGGTCAAACAAAAAGTTGGTCAAACAATAGGTAAAATGTAACAAACAACTTTTTAAATAATAATTGCGTTTATGACACATTTATTCGTAAACGCCATAAAAGCTATGATCGGTAAGTGTAACTTTTATATTCGCGAAAAATACATTATACATTACCATTACCATATAAAAACCCATAAAATAAGTACAGCATTGAGAAAAATTCTATTGTCTCCGGGGACCTCTTACTGGAACGAGTATAAACGAGTAACTTAAATGATCCGGATCGCAAACGCAGTCATAGAGTGCTCTTTTACGGGCCAATATTCGAAGTGGCAATGTTGTAATAGAGTTATAAATGGCCATGGTATTGTTTTCGTATTTAAATTTCTGCTTCAACTTGTTTCCTTGTGTGCTAATATTGAATATTGCTAGTCCAAAGCAGCTGTTGTTTTCTAATATTCCTAGGTTTTCTAAATAATCACGATATTCTCTCGAATTGTCTTTATCTAATCGTTGCGAATTTACAAGTACCTAGCAGTTTTACAAGCGTTCTATTTTATCAGCATTATTTAAATTTTTAATTAA